CATCAAATGCTCAACTAAAAGGTTGAGAAGGCCTCGACAACAAAAATGTGCGTTGACAATGTAGCAATATTGATGAATGCTAAAGTTGTCTTTAATGTTGATGTACTGTCATTTAAGCTTTAATTTTCCGATTTTGCATTCAATTTATGTCATTTCAAGATAATATTATATTGATTTTATGGTGAGGATGCGCTAACAGAGAACGCCATTCATTATTTATGAAGATTCTCGGTAATTATATATTTCATGGGTGATAGGCAAACTAAAAGCCAACATTACTGCTATCAAGTCTTGAAATCAAAGATAAAGGTTGATATAAAGGTTGTATGTTGTAATAGAAAAGCAAACCAATTGATACTGAATGCGGGATAAATTGTGGCAGAAAATTCTACATCGATTCAATCGTTGAAAATTAGTCTACAGTCTCTTTCGGACAATTTCCTCTCAAAGGTACTCGCAAAACAAGTTATTATAAAATCAACAAAACCAAACACATGTCAAATGCTTCCTAGCAGCGACAATTTGTGATCTAAAGTACTGTTGTCTTCCATTTATGACAACGATGCCTAGACGCAATCATAGCACACACTGTGGTAGCTACAAGCGATTATTTGGACTAACGATTCTGAAGAATGTACTGGCAAAAGAAATTATGCAATTATGTGATTCTACCGTGAAGAAATGCACATGGATATCCATATTGCAGTGTCATCAATAGACACCTGAAAATGTTAAAGAAACTGGATATGTGATATAAGAATAAGGATATGTGATGTAATAGAAAATAAATATTTATTACTAAATAATAATATCGCTTCTTGCATCCAGTTTCGTTGACCTACCAGGTTTCATTTAATGTATATTCTCACCGGGGATGAGAAGATCTTATGACTGTTGGCAGTGCTGAGGGCCTGTCTGGCAGGGCAGGTAATTTCAGTCACAAAATGGCGACGTTTTTAACTGGCACATGGTTGTAAAGAAATTGAAAAAATAAATCACATTACCAGGCCATATTTTCCAAATAAATCGCGAAAAAAGAAAAATTGGAAACTGTTGAAGACTTGTTTACTATTACTTTGAAATTTGAGGATAAAAGATCCAGGAGAAAGGCAATTGTTTATCCCAAATGGGGATGTTTCCTACAGAATACCACGGTAAGTTTGCATTGAGTTGATGTAAGAAGTTGCTTATCATCCTTCAAATAAAGAATCGCGCGAATGTTAATAGCCATGTAATAGCTGTTTGAAAGTTGCATGGTATTAAGAGACCAGCCACTGCTAGTCTGTCACATCTTTTGCTATGAGATTTGGACACCTTGTACCAAAGAAACCTAAGCACAATAAAAGAATACAATAATGTGTGCGCTGCGCTGAATGATTAGCAGGAGAATTTGCTTTAGTGTAAATGTGGGAAACCAATCGGTGAATTTAATGACTTCAATCAATTAAATTAGAGAAATTTACAAGTCAATAATCAATACATGTTTGAGGAAAAATTAACACATTTGCTTTAAATTTATTTATTTTGCATTATTGTTACTTTCTAAAAAAATTAAAGATGTTTTTCGTATTTGAAAATGTTTATGCAAAATTTACAAAATGAGAATACCCAGATTTCGTGTACGTTTGTATCTTATCACATAAACAACACCAAAACATTGCAAATGACAAAAAAGGGAAGGAGCTAAGGATGTCTTAACAGGCACAAACGCATGAATTTCAAACTGTGAGCAAAACAGATAGCCACAATGCACAAGTGGGAGACGAATTGTTGGTTTTACTGTTGTAATGTAAAAGCCACTGGCGACGCCAAGGCTGAGGGCTTTTCACGCGTTCAAGACAACAAAGGAAGTTGGAAGAGATATGACGCAAATGCAAATGACTTGACCAGTAAATGCTTACAACGTGCCTGTGTAAAAGCTAATGTTCTCAAATCGTATCAATGGGTTTAAAGTTTAGCGAAAAAAAAGAGATCGTTGCAACGAGAAAGCGCACACCTCAATAACGAAACTTGGAAACTCGTTCATAAGCATTGTCGTAGCATACTCGATAATTGGGGGAACATTCATAAAAGAACATGTTCTACCTTATTAAGTTTATTTGAAATCCATTGTTTTCTACCTAGTCAGGCATGTATATATGAATTTGTGACCAAACTCCCCCTTTGTGACCAACCTATTCATTTAAAGAGTTTGCTACTGCATCTAAGATGAGTATTTTTTCCAACTGTTTGGAATTTTCTTACCTCACATTTGTTTACCAGCAGTAATGGTTCTTGGAGTTCAGATGTTGCATTACACTGGATGAAAAATCGAGTGGAAAACTATGGACTCTGTGATTGTTAGTAAAAGAAGGTAGGTGATTATGTTTTCTCCGTCCTATTGCCGATCTGCTAATGATTTTATACTATTTGCTTTTGAAAATTAAGTGATAAAGTAGTGGCGTCCAATTAAGTCGAGTTAAATTGTTAAAGCTCTTTTTTGGATTATTAAAATTCCAAGCACCTTCTTTTTCTGTTCTTAATTTGAAATTGAGTGCTATTCATCTTCATTTTTTACTAACGTTTGATTTGCCACTGATGATTTAATAACCTTGCAATGAATGATTTTGGCCTACGCTTTATCTTGGTTGGCAATGCGATTAAATTGAAGCTCTTATTATTAAATTCCAACACCTGCTAATTTAAATTGAGCTATTCATCTCATTTTACAACTTTGATTACACTGATGATGAAGATTTAATAACACACATTTGCAATGATTGCCTGCAAACTTTTATCTTAGGTTGATTATTTAATATTGAATATGAGAATATGTTAAATTAACCAATAATATGTAACGGTAAATGCGCGAGCGCTGGCTGCAAGATTTGAACGCTGCTATAGAAGTAGATATAGCCGGCTCATGCAATTGCCGATGATGTCAAACCATTGTTCATATGCTTTATAACTTCCTTCCTTATTAGGTGGCAGGACTAACGACAAATTATTCTCCCTCTGCAATTTGAAGTTTGTTGTTGCTCCTCCCAAGGGGGTGGTAGGGATGCAGCAGATATTGAAAAAGATTAGTTAAAGTCGTTTTCTTTTTCTCCAGCAGACAACAGTCAACTGAGCATAACATAATTTAATCATAAGGTTGTGGAGTGAACTTGTTTTTGCTTAATATATCATAAATGTATTTTGTTCTTAATTTTATAGGTTGATCAAATTTGGAACTGGCCATTTTAATAATAGTAGAAAAAAATCTTAACGCTAACATAGAATGAACTATGTACAAAAGTGGTATGTCCATTTTAACATCCTGTATCAATTCAAGACCGTGGTACACAACAGTTCCGTGGAAATGGACAACTGAAGCGTCCCTTTACGAATTCTAACTTTAGACAATTTTCTCTGCAGTTCCCATTTTGATCTGCACATTGTCTATTGTCTTCGATACTATCAACGACTGCTGGTCTTTTTCTGAATCTGAAAGGAGATGTTGGTCGTGTGAGAACCTCACTGGAAATAGTATCTTTTTCTTCTGTTTTTAAAGAAGTGGGTAGAGCCGTAGATTCAGGATGCGTGGAGTCTGCTTCACTCCATGGTTGGGTTGTCTTCGTTTCCTGTGGTTTGTCTGAGCTCGGGTCTCCTTCGCTCGATGGTGGCATTGTGCTCGTCTCTTTTGGTTTTCTGAGTTCAGGTCTGTTGCCCTCGAGGGTGGTATTGTGCTCGTCTTTTGGTTTTCTGAGTTCGGGTCCGTTGCCCTCGATGGTGGCGTTGTGCTCGTCTTTTTTTGTTTTTCCGAGTTCGGGTCTGTTGTCCTTGATGGTGGCATTGTGCTCGTCTTTTGGTTTTCTGAGTTCGGGTCAGTCGTCCTCGATGGTGGTATTGTGCTCGTCTTTTTGGTTTTCCGAGTTCGGGTCTGTTGTCCTTGATGGTGGCATTGTGCTCGTCTTTTGGTTTTCTGAGTTCAGGTCAGTCGTCCTCGATGGTGGCATTGTGCTCGTCTTTTTGGTTTTCTGAGTTCGGGTCAGTCGTCCTCGATGGTGGTATTGTGCTCGTCTTTTTGGTTTTTCTGGATTCGGGTCTGTCGCTCTCGATGGTGGTATTGTGCTCGTCTTTTTGGTTTTTCGAGTTCGGGTCTGTTGTCCTTGATGGTGGCATTGTGCTCGTCTTTTTTGGTTTTTCTGAGTTCGGGTCAGTCGTCCTCGATGGTGGTATTGTGCTCGTCTTTTTTGGTTTTTCTGGATTCGGGTCTGTCGCTCTCGATGGTGGCATTGTGCTCGTATTTTTTGGTTTTTCTGAGTTCGGGTCTGTTGTCCTCGATGGCGGTATTGTGCTCTTCTTTTTTTTTCTGAATTCGGATCTGTTGTCATCGATGGTGGTATTGTGTCTCTTTTCGGTTTTTCTGGGTTAGGGTCTGATGGTGGCATTGTGCTCGTCTTTTGGCTTTTCTGAGTTCCGATCTATTGTCCTCGATGGTGGCATTGTGCTTGTTATTTTTGGTTTTTCTTAGCTCCGGTATGTCCCTCGCGATGGTGGTATTATGCTCGTCTTATTTGGTTTTTCTGTGTTCGGGTCTGTTGTCCTCAATGGTGGTATTATGCTCGTCTTTTTTGGTTTTTCTGAGTCCGGGTCTGTTGTCCTCGATGGTGGTATTGTGCTCGTTTTTTTGATTTTTCTGTGTTCGGGTCTGTTGTCCTCAATGGTGGTATTGTGCTCCTCTTTTGGTTTTTCTGTGTTCGGGTCTGTTGTCCTCGATGGTGGTATTCTGCTCGTCTTTTTCGGTTTTACAGGGTTAGGGTCTGTCGCTCTCGATAGTGGCATTGTGCTCTTCTTTTTTGGTTTTTCTGAATTCGGATCTGTTGTCATCGATGGTGGTATAGTACTCGTCTTTTTTGGTTTTTCTGTGTTTGGGTCTGTTGTACTCGATGGCGGTATTGTGCTCGTTTTTTTTGGCTTTTCTGAATTCGGATCTGTTGTCATCGATGGTGGTATTGTGCTCATCTTTTTCGGTTTTTCTATGTTCGGGTCTGTTGTCCTCGATGGTGGTATTGTGCTCGTCTTTTTTGGTTTTTCTGAGTTTGGGTCTCTAGTCCTCGATGGTGGTATTATGCTCGTCTTTTTTGGTTTTTCTGAGTTTGGGTTCGTTGTCCTCAATGGTGGTATTCTGCTCGTCTTTTTTGGTTTTTCTGAAATCTGGTCTGTTGTCCTCGATGGTGGTATTGCAATCATCTTTTTTTGTTTTTCTGAGCTTGGGTCTGTTCCCCTTGATTGTGGCGTTGTGCTCGACTCTTTTTGTTCATCGTTTTTTTTTGCTTTTCAAAATTTTCGGGTTTTCTACACCGTGCATCGGCACACATGCTGAAAATAAAATAAACAATATTGATGAAGACGCTTCATAAACGGTATCAATTTTCTTGCTACTCTTCTTGTTCATTTACACATCATATTAATACTTAGAACTAAATCAGGAAAACTTTTGAGACAATTGTAATGATCTGGACAAAGACTGCCTTTCTGATCACGCGTGCGTAACACGTGAACGACAAAATATCCGCTTGAAATGTCAAAGTTTTTATCTGTTGTTTTCAAACACGAAAAAGTTTTAAATTGGTTCAACTTCAGTTTTTGGTACCTGAAGTTATACGATGCTTTATGATTTTGCTAGAAAATGTTTCTTTGTTTGATGTGTTGTGACATATATGTACAACTACTGACTATAGGCCATTGCATTAAAGTAGTAATTAAAGATGCATATAAAACCTATCCGTATCGGCAAACCATTGACATACTGATAAGACATTATGAAAACATGGAGGAAATTAGATAGAGTGACACACACTGAATACGCTTTTTAGAATAGACATATCAACGAAAAAAAGAGTTGCGCTTACACTCAATTATTGCAGTTAATCCTATGAGCACAATTAAGGTGGCGAAAGCTCTCGACATTTTCAATTCTTGTGTTGAAATAGTTGTCATCACTTAATAATATCACTTTATGTTGCTACTTTCGCAATTTTTTGGAGCGTTGCTTCTTTTCTTTCTGTTCAGTGACTCTTACACTACGTGAATGAAGTGTCGTTGTCCGTCTTCCACTTTATACTCAAATTTTTCTTTTTCGTGACTCCTTGATTAACCTTTTCTTTGGCTGTAATTTGTTGTCGACGTAGATATGGTGATGAGGTTTTTTGTTCTTAAATCGTAATAGCGTTGCTTTGGTAAAAAAGGAAATTTTGGCATTTTTATTATAAGGTCAATGCTGCTGTCCGGCTATATTCACATTGTCCTTATCGCTTTAGCTCATGTTGGGACTTGGGAAATATCCTGTTTGCAAATATTCCCACGTTTCTTTGCAAACAAACATTGTATAACTGTTTGTACATTATGACCAACTCATGTGATTCGCTTTTATGACTGTCATTTTTCATTTTTCTTGTGGGAAGATCATGTCTTTAATTGGAGTCAGACATGTTCCGTTCGCACTTTAGTTCCTTTTTTTTTGGATAAAAATTCCGATGTTTTGATCTACTGCCAATATTGCAATGCAGCTTCATGAGCATGAATTACTTTAGTGTATAAGCACTATAAGTTAGCCGATTAAAAAAATATATCATGAAACGTAGCTAGTTATGACGTATCAATAATCAACTTGATATGTGCATTACATCATGATCAAAACGGATTACTTGCTAAAGGTCTTAATTTTCATTCATTCTGTCGCTATAAAAGCGAGAACATCTAAAAACGCGCTTTATATTTTATTTTTTTCGGAGCAATATCAAGTTTATTCGATAAACATTTCACCTATATCAGAGATTAATTGAAGGCGTTGTATAGTCCAGGTTTATGATAATTATGCTACAGTGCTGATTCACCGTCCACCTAGCTATACAAAATCTTTCACTGAGTGCAATGTTTTCTACCCACAATTGACGGTCACTGAAAGAAAGTTTTCGCAATAAATTTTTATTTTACATTTATTCTATGTTATTTGCCAAACGATATTTTTTTTTATAAATTATGTTACCAGCGGGAAGCAACCCATATATGTACAAGAATTATGTGAAAGATTCTCCGTAATTATATTGTAATTGGTTAGAGTTAGATGACGACATTGTGACAAGGGCTTTGTTACATTGCGAGTTACATAGTTCAATTAAAATACCAATGTCTTGTATTGTGCGAAAGGTATAGAACTTAATCAAATGAAATAGCCTAAAAAAACATAGTAAATAAGATGAACTAACTAAGCTATAGAATAAAACTTATTTGAATACAACTAATGTAGTTACGTTGCGTGGTGCTACTTCCTGGCTGTGCAATCATTTTCAAAACAATTTTTCTAACGCGACACTATTCAAAATTTCTAACTTCAAAAAAATTTAATTTTTTGGTTAAAATGTTTTGTGACATACTCAAGCATATTTGAAAACGGTTTGACATTTCTTTTACATATAAAAATCTCGTGTTCTGGAAATTGTTTAGGTTAGCGTTTTTGAAACTCCATAGTAATTTCATTAGCACACGACACATCTGGATTCTTAATGTTCGTTTTATTGATCGACGTCTGCTTTGCTGGTTTATTCTATGTATCGTGGACTCATTAGCCATGTAATATCTTCATTTGAAGTGGTTTCATTGTTTTGAATAAACTCGTGTATTTAGGTAGTATTTACTATCAAACACTTCTTTTCTGTATAAAACAAATAATAATAATAAAACAATAAAAATAAAACAAGATTCACTTTAGAGAGTTAAATAGCTAAGTGCTTTTTGCACACCCAATATTCTCAAGTTCTTCAAAGATCCCGACGTGATGTTCATTCACTAGGGCTGATGCTTTTTGTTGGTATAAAAAAAAACGCAGATTCAGAACATGGATTCGAGAGTAGACTTTAAGATTTACGAATAGCATGCTATTGCTCCATAGTTCAATAGGCTACAAAATGCAGTTTTTGTGTTTTCTTCAGAAGACTCTTTGGCTGTCATTAACATATAACGTAGACTTTATATTTTCAACTTATTACAAGGTGGAGTGTAAGATGTGGTATCGTAGAGACTTTCACGCAAACTGCACAACTGCACTCCACATTTTCTTTCTTTCCTTTCCTTTCGCGGAGAGAAGACGGGACAGGGATGTAACTAATGTCGTGCACATCACGATGCGAATGAATATGTTGCCATGACAAAAATGACATAATTTGTCATAAGTGCAGCGATGTTTTCCTTCGATTCGAGTTGATGGTGTCCTTTAGATGGCATAAACACATTTAAGAAAATACACAATAGTGAAAAAATTTTTGTTTGAAGTTTGCTTCTCCCCTGAACGAATTTTGAGGTGCATTATAAGCATTGTTACATAGATTTGCTTGGAGTTCATCAACTTAGAGTTACCAGATGAGAGCATTGAAATCATCAAATGCTCAACTAGAAAGGTTTGAGAAGGCCTCGACAACAAAAAATGTGCGTTGACAGTCTAGCAGTATGGGTTATTGATAAGGATTGTCTTTAATGTTGATGTACTGTCATTGTTAAGACTTTAATTTTCCGATTTTGCATTCAATTTATGTCATTTTGCAAGATATTATTATATTGATTTGTGATTGAGGATGCGCTAACAGGGAACGCCATTCCTTATTTATGAAGATTCTCGGTAATTATATACTCATGGGTGATAGGCAAACTAAAAAGCCAACATTACTGCTATCAAGTCTTGAAATCAAAGATAAAGGTTGATATGAAGGTTGTAAGTTGTAATAAAATGCAAACCAATTGATACTGAATGCGGGATAAATTGTGGCAGAAAATTCTAAATCGATTCAATCGTTGAATAGAATTAGTCTACAGTCTCTTTCGGACAATTTCCTCTCAAAGGTACTCGGAAAACAAGTTATTATATAATCAACAAAACCAAACACATATCAAATGCTTCCTAGCAGCGACAATTTGTGATCTAATGTACTGTTGTTTTCCAGTTATAACAACGATGCCTAGACACGCAATCATAGCACACACTGTGCTAGCTACAAGCGATTATTTGGAATAACAATTCTGAAGAATGTACTGGCAAAAGAGATATGCAATTATATGATATTCCCGTGAAGGAATGCCTATGGATATCCATAATGCAGTGTCATCAATAGTCTCCTGAGAATGTTAAAGAAACTGAATATGAGCTAAGTGCATCAAGAAAAAAGCTTGTACAAATTAAATGTTGATACCATCATATCCGTGGGATCTAACGTGTCGTGATCATATGAACGTTGGATGTTGTGATTGATAAATGCATCACCCGCATCGACCATGTAGCCAAAAATGTGTTACCGAATGGAGAGAAATATGGCACAGATTTAAAAATGTACTCGTAATAGAAACAAACACTTTTTTTCATAAAACAACTACAAACAATAAGTGACTTGAACAGCTAAGTGCCTTTTGCATACCCAATATTAGCGTTCAATCGTATTAATTTTCAAACCCATAAAAAAACCCCCGAGAGAAAGATGCCACTGTGGTGTTCATTCTTGAAGGTTCATCGACGCTTTTTGTTGGTATTGAAAAAATGCGGATTCATTTTGCGAAGTCGTAAAGTATATTTTTTTGATTTAAGAAAAGCATGCTAAATTCCAAATTCCAATAGGTATACATGCATAAAAAAAGCAATTTTTGTGTCTTTTTAGAAGACTCTTTGGCAGTCGTTAACATATAACACAGTTTCGTATACTGTGTATTTTCAGCTTATTAGAAGGTTGAGTGTACAACGTGGTATTTTAGAGACTTACACCCTTCACTCCTCATTTTTCCTCCTTTCTCTTTGCGGAGAGAAGACGGCACGGAATGTAACGTTGCACACATCACGAGGAACAAGAATATGTTGCTATGTAACATGAAGTAAATCGTATGGAGTGACCCGACATTTTCTTTTGATACTAAATGAAGATGTCCCTTAGCTGTAATAAGCCCATGGCGAAAACGTTGGACTTGCTCTATCAAGTAGAAAGTATCGTGCTATTAAATATTTCTTAGTACAACAAATACGTTAACACATCTGGGCACAAGCAGTAAACTGATTGCAGCGAACAATTTTACACACAACTATTTATCATTCATTGTAAAATGGGCTATAAATTATAGCATCATCTAGAGCTGCTATGAGCATCGCCTAGTTTGTGCTATTATATGGTTTTGGTTCATAACATTGTGAAATTATGACTAGAAAAATTACTTAA